CTGACAGAGAACATTACCTTTTAATGAATATTACTTGCATGTTAAAGTTAGATTTGTGACACAATCACATCTGATTGTATAATACCTTTTATCCCAGTCAGGGCATCTTAATATTGTATTGAAGAATTCTCACTGCAACATTCTCCTACGTATTGTAGGGATTCAGAGCACATCCTTAAAAAGCTCACCACTTTGTACAGCAGTTATCTCTAAATGCTGCACATATACTCCATTTACTGAAATCAGCACATCCTGACAAAATAACATGTACAAATACAAGTATGCTCACCTACTTGTACTGTTAAAAATCCCTTGTAGCATATAAATTAAATGTACATAATGGGCAAAAGAGCATCTTAGAAACACATAACTAGCAAGACTGTACCATAGGGAAAAAAAACCTGTCAACCTTCAATGAAACTATACTAAAATGATAAATTCTTATTAATTTAAATTCGCATTTTTAATAATTTTCAAATCATTAAACTTAAATTTTACTTTCCTGCATTAATAGTCTTGAATAGAAGTGAAACACGTTAACATTTGGGTTGCTAGTTAATCAGTTATGAAATCCCATACTGTTGGCTCTTGTATTTCTTTGTTCCTTTTTGATCTTAGTCAATTACTCAGTAAATCCAGCAACCTCAGTCCTGCAGATGCTTACACTCGCCCACTACTCTTACGGGTTAAGGGACAACTCAGTGAAATCAGAAAGGAAAAACAGAATTGTATGATTTAATTAAAAAAAAGAAAAAAAAAGCTTACAAAAAACATTTCAGGCAATATTCAGAAAACATTAAGTCTGATCTCCTAATGGTTTAGATAGTAAATTAAGCTTAGAGAATTTAAAAATGTTTGTGTGGTAAAGTTTTCTTAATATGCATGTACGAGAAGGAGGAAAAAAAAGGCAGCTAGATCGGGAAGTACATGCAATTATCTCATTAAAAAAGAAAAACAAAAAACCAAACAAACCAAAATATCCTTCCTTTCTCTCATCATTAAACCCAAGTAATTTTTTTTATTTAAAGTTTTAGAGACTTGATCTGTATGACGGTCACTGGATACTAACTCTACATGAGAGCTGAAGGAAAAACGTATTATTACAGCTGCCAAGTGCACAAGCAACAGGCATGCAGTTCATAACGTACCATGACCCACTCAAAAGTTTCATCTCAAAACTGAATGAACACATTAGCTGAGTAGCACATATACATCACATATTCAAGCTCTGCAGCTTTTTCCAGTATATAATGTACTTGGGTGTCAGAAGTTCATAGGAGTAACCTGAGCTGAAGAAATAAAGTGAAAATGACCCCCAGAAATAAATGCCAGCACACAACAAACTAAAATCACAGACACTGTGGAATTATTTGCTAATAAACCATGAAAAAAAATATCCATAATGAAACAATGAATTCAAGCTTCTTGCATAAAGTTGAAGTGGGCAGTTGCAAAGAACACAAACTACTTCAGTGTGTCAGTGGTCCGGTACATACAAACTCAGACATGGTACTTCTAAAATATATTTATTAAGGAGTCATATGGTAAACTTATGCTGTTTACATCATACAGAACACGTTCCTAAATTTGTAAACAATTTCAATATAACCTAAGTTACAAACTACTATCTTAAGAAAGCAAAAATGAAGAAACTGTGAAGTTTCTAGAGGCTGAAACACCTTTTGCCATTTCTATTTTGTATAAACAAAGCAGTAATCTGGAAGTTTTCAAATCATAATAAAACAAAACACACCTTTAAAGCCAGTAAGTAATTTTTTCCCAATAAACAACTGGAAACAAAGCCCAACTTTCTGTAACTGAAATACCTGCACCACAAATGTTAGCTAACAAGAAGAACCGGATAAGCAGAAATTAACATAACGCAAGTTCACTGGCACAGAATTTTTCTTATTTGGTGAAAATCGGTACAATCTTTTGAAGAAGTTTGACACAGCTCTGAAGGCACTTCTCCAGAGATACTTCTGGGTTGTCTGTGGGCAGACAAGCTACCTGTTCTACCCGAATTAAATCAGGTCGCATCGCGCTGTGCTGCAGGAAGCGTCACCAGTTGCAGCTTTGCTAAAACACGGATCTTGATGCTCCACAAACCAATTGCATCAGACACTTCTCTTTTCTCTGTTCATCTCTATTCTTAGAACCTCTTACCTCATAATTTATTTCCTTTTCCACATTATCTGAGCTATCCTGCTCCTCCATTTCCTGAATAAACTGAGGGTGTACAATCTTAATGACAAGCTGCTCCAATGAATATAAATCATACCGCACTAATACCAGTCACCAGGACAAATAGGCTGGTATTTCCGGAAGCCTATCATCAGCACTTTCATGCAACGCCCAAGAGAAAGTTCGCAATGTGACTGGAGATCAAAAATTGAGACTACTTCAGATTAAAAAGCAAAGTATTTCCTGAGTAAGAAACCTTGATGAAAAACCCACTTCGGCAGCTCTTCCTTTCTCTTCCCCCTCTTTCAAACGATCTGCTGACCTCAACTCCAGCCCTAGGGCACCAAAGCAAGGTGGTTACCTCTGCAACACCACAAGACCTTCAAGATAACCCCATTCCATATGTTGAGTCAAGTACATCATGACACACAGTACATCACTTCCAACATTTATGAGGAAAATACACATCTCTTGGTCTGCTACAGAGAGAAGAAAGGTTTTCCAGGTACCGTAGCCATAGAAATACAGCCACCCTTTAGGAGTAACTGTGGAGTTTGAAAGCTGGAAGCCGGTTAAACACAGCTAACCTGAAGGAACGCTACATTTTTCCCAGTGCTTTATAAAGTCAGACCCGCCTTAATCCTTTCAGCCCTTTAAATTACAGCCTGTCAGTTTGCTTCAACGCCTGTCCAGACACAGACATTAAACAACACACTTCAAGCTGTCCAAAAAGAAAGTTTCCCAGCTTCACTTGACCCACTGAACGCACATCAAGTCACGTATCTATGTACACGTTAGGAGAACGGGGTGACTGGCTAACACCATTCTCTGCAACCCTAATAGGTGACAATTAAGTCATGAATGAGCACGTGCAGTGAGCACAGCAGCTATACAGACACTTGCTATGATCCATTAGAATGGAGATAGCTTTATTAGCAAAGGGAGTAATTACTACCCGTCACTAGATCAGCAGTTGCACCAGTGTTTCGTAACAAAGTTTGACCCTCCACAGCCTGGGGACTCACACACACCATCAGACGTCCACCAGCGACAAGCTCAAGATCTTTGCTTTTATTTCACCTGAGAGCAGGAGGAGTGATTGCAGACTGAAAGGCAAATATAACTCATACGCACAACAATACTTCTACCGTTTCTTCACATCTAGGCATATTGCATTGAAAATGCTAGGACACCCTCAGAACATGCCTTACACAGTTTTTAAGACTTCCTTCCTCCCTCGTCCCAAGTCCAAGCAGGGCACTCTTCTGCCCTTCATTGGCCAACCAGTTTAAACTGCAGCACGGCCAAGGTGGAAATAGACCTAAAACTTCACCCCACCCACAGTAAGATGGATTACTTTCCCCCTCTCCCATCTCCACTCATTTTTCTTATTTCCAACTCACTGTCCACTCTGCTCCTAATTGAATGTTCAGTTCTAGTCTCCCTGAGCTGACAGTCCCTGGCACTACAAGAAATACACTACTTAAAACAGGACAAAATGTAGGTTCTAGACCAAGTAACAAACATTTTTCTTTGTAGACGAGTCTTTGAACAAAAGGTTATGCCAGTCAATGAAGTCATATACATAACTTTTTATAAAATCACTACTTTATTTCAGTGTCATTTGCTTATGTCAAACCCTGGATGTGACAGCTTGTGCACGAACCTACTATGTCAGTTTAAAAGATAGGACATATAATTCATAATCAGTGGTGCTAAGTATTCTTAGTTACAAATTTAATAAAATAGATTGAAATCCACCAATTCAATAAACAGCATTAAAGTCTTGAAAAATTTGAAGCAGCACCTCATATATGGACTGCTATACTAACACAATGGACAATATTTCATATTCTTTTTGTAAAAACGATGTCTGTGTGCTGTGAAGCTGCGTTTCTTATTTTTAAGAAACACTAATGCAATATATCAAGAAAACAATGACTGGAGGAAAAAAGGACATTTTCACATCGCCCACAATACTACTACTCAATATTTCAGCAATCTACTAGGCTTTCATTGCCAACTTTGGACACTTGAAAGCAGTATGCATAACACTTCCAAACAGTTTTGTTTGTTTTCAAATAAACCTTCATAGCAAATCAGTTGCTCCTAACAAATAGATCAGTGCATCTGATCACACCTGAAAATTCTACTCTAACACTACTACAAGCTACCATGAGAGCACCATGCAAACATCTATCTACACAACAGACAGTAGCTAAAATAAAGATGATGAAAGCTGGATTAGTAAGAGAAGGTGCATCAATTGTCATAATCTTTTCATCAAAGATGGCAGTAAGTATAATTCTAAAAGATCACAAAGCCTTAAAATTGACAAGGAAAAATTCATAGTCACTAAAAAGATGCCACACCACTTGACTCATGCTCAGAAAAATCAGACCAATAAATAGTGAGAGACAAGGTCTTCTCACAATGCCAAGAGATATTTTAGTATAAAGTAGGGTTTGAGCATGCCGCACTGAGGACAGGTGGCTGATTTGTTACACAGAGAGTCCAAATATTCTGCTTTCATGTGAGAAAAGTGAATATACCTTCACATAGACATTTCTGGCTTGAAGAAACTTAGATATTTCTTATACTGATTGCCGAGAAGGCAACACACTGGAAGTCCTCACACAAGGAAAGAAAAAAAAAACCCAATGAGTTTGAGCATGCGAGTATGTGCAAGTTTGCACATGTGTATACTTGATATATAATGTAGGTTTTCCAGATATAGTAAGTATGACAGTTGAGATGTTTCTCTGTCTCATGCCCAAGATCCCCCACAAAAGTCATTCTAATTTAGAAAGACATACCTTTTAAAGCTGGCAGTTTTTGAAGCTCCCTGTTATTGCTAACATTAAACCTTGAAGAACTCTGCCGCTTTTCCTTCTTCAGTACTGTCTGTGGTGCTGGTACTTTGATTTTAGATAGTTGTGCTGGAGGAGGAGTGCTGTTTGATTTTTTGTTTGACACCTGTTTAAAAAGAAACCAAAACAGTTAATTGGTGCTGAACTTGAAAGAAATTCTTCTAAAATTAATTTTGATACAGAAATAACTTAAGCAAAATAAGCTTTAAATCAAAGTGCTCTATTCATCCTCTGAATGCACAGCTATTTATTCTTCTGTTCCCTCTTTTCAGTGTTCATTTCTGTAGCATAGCTCTCATATAGATGGGAAAAGATCATCTTGCACTAGCCCGTTTATTAGAAGCTACTGGCCAACTGAAAAGAAATTTTCAAGTAACACAGTTCCTCAGCTACTCCCGCCTTTTCCCTGAGAATTCCAGGTCTCCAAGATATTTGGCTGGCTCACTTCAGCTTCAAAGGGATTGCAGGACCTTGTCTATTTACAGCAGGTGAACCTTTCACTGCCTCTTTGTCCTGTGCCTCGCTGCTAGAGTCCTAAGCTTGGCTGGGACATTCAGACTTTGATATAAAGATGCAACTCATATCGTTGTAGTAGCTTCAGCAGTTTCTAAAACAGACACAAAGATTTGAGCAGTTTACTGCCTACTCAGAGCAAGTTACTTTTACTGTAATAGTCCTTATCAGATTGTCATTGTACCTCTCTACGAAGCAAATAACACAAAACCTGAAATATGGTTCCCACCTATAGGTTTCCAGCCTGCTGCTATTTCCCAGACTTCACTTGACAGTGCTCTCTCTCAAGTTGAATAAAATGCATCATTAACAAAAGCCTGTCAGAACTTGTGATGCTGCCTTTCTCATTCCTTTTTTGAAGTAGGAAAAGCAGGTTTAAAGTAGGTAATAGTTAACTTTTTACGTATGAATAATTTCATGATGTTCTTCACACAAATGATAAAACATCTAGGAGTGACCTACACTAAGAATATAGAAACAGCTGAGCTGATCTGCAAGGTAAATTCTATTAATCAATTCAAGTTTAAAAAAAACCAACAAAACACTCCAAATAAAAATACAAATAGACTAAAACAGACAAAAAACCAGCACTAAAACTCAGGAAGCAATGACTTACCATCTACTAAGCAACAAAAGCTAATTAAGATGCATTATAAACACTATGACTGCACAGGATTCTATACTTTCAATATTGTGCTTGAGCCTAATGGTGTTTTTCTGAACTGGCTATCTTTCACTGCCACCTGCTTTTTGTTCATTACTTAGAACAGGAAAAACCACTTTCCTCCTTCTTCTATTCCCAAACAAATTCTCAATTTTGAATTAACAAGTGCTCACCTGTGCCTGCACACATGTGCACACTACGGTGTCCTAAGGTAACACACACCTCAGAGAACCAAGTATTCTAAATTGCAGATAAATTCTAAAATTAGCCAAAAGTGGTTATTTAAGAGGAGGGGTAACATTTCTAATTAGAAATGTTGAGAGAAAGCATCTTTTGTTGCTATGGCAACTTCCCAGCTAGCAGTGATGACTCCAGTGTAATTCTAGCCCTGAAGCACTGGCCAATTTATCCAACAGATTTCTTCCTCCTTTCCACCATCAACTACGATCATTCCTGTCTTTCAATCATGCGTCAGTCATTCAGCCAGCACATACCAGAAAGCTGCCAAAACAGTTTCCAGTTTATTATTACATGAATACTACACTACACAGCTGTGCCCAATGACTTCTCCAAGTGGCACTATGGTGCTACCACAAGAAAACTGGCTTCCAGAGCTCACAGATATCCAGCCCTTGGATAGAAGGGTACCTGGAGAAAGTGAGTTGAATCAATTTAAGCCACACAGCTCAGCAATCTCAACCATCCCTCTAAAAAGAAAACAAATTCAGACTAACAAATCTCTGTATTCATTTGCTAAGATTTCAAGGTAACATACTTAACTTTTTATGAAGCTACAGTGCTTAGTCCAGATCGAAGAGCCAAGCTCAGCTTCTTCCTCCCAGTAACAAACCAGACTACTTCAGAGACCACAACTCCTGAGAATAACTGATGGACATTCTGCTACATCAGTGAACAGTTCAACTTATCCGAGAGCAGAACAGTCAAACTACACATACATGTTATCAGTTCTCTTCCTCAGACTAGAAAGGGAAACTCCTATTCTTCCCCTTGTTCTAGCAAACAGCTCCCTCCCAAACAAATGTTTCTATGCTCACAGACACGTTCAATTCCAAAAGTGGTGATAAACCCCTAACAATGTGTACAAATTACTCCAAAACCATGTCAGATCGAGAATGTTTCTTCAGATCATAATTAAAACATAACCCTCAGGTTTTCTGAGCAATTTAGTTCTTAAAAGCTAGAGCTTTACATACTTTATGAAAATTACGACAATCAGGAGTTTATGTTCCCCAGATCCCTTGAATAAGCTTGAAATGAATTCAAGATTGTGAACAGCAGGGAGGAGAGAAGGTTTCTTGCTAGTCACAACAGTTCAAGATATATAGTTCTTGCATCTCTTCTTTCCTTGAGTCCTCCTGCATCAAGCAAGATGTGGGACCTTCCTTGTCTTAACATGACCGTTTTGAGCAAAGTTGGATCCTTCATCCACCCAACTCATACACAGACACGTGTAGATCAGAGCGCAATACTAAGTTTGTGATCACAGAAAGGAAGATATTAGTAGACCAAGCACACCTACAGTCACAGCCAATTTTCCTTTCTAAATTAAATCTATCATCAGACAGCCCACATACCAGCTTTTACTTTTGGCCAGCCACCTAAGACATAAGACAGAGAGTACTGGGAACTGCATGCAGGGTCCACCCTGTTTTATTATCTATGTCAGCAAGTCTTTCAGAAGACCCTATTCTTCCCTTTCTGACAGTATCCCAAAAAACTGGTATTCAAGCTACCTTGACCAAACATGGGCAACCAGAACGCTGTCTGACCTTCCCTTTCAAAGCACATTCACTAATAACTGAATTAGACCAAAATCCACGAAGCCTTCTGCTCCACAAAATCAAACCTAGATCCTCCACAAGGACCTCAATCCTTCCAAGCCAAGCCTAGAGTAAGGTCAACTCTAGAATGATGCAGGGAGCTTTCATACTGCTTTCTAAGATAAACTGCTCAGAGCAGATTAAGGATTTGAATATGACAATAAAATCACCTGGATGCACATGTCATTCAAGATTAAAAAAATTGGATGGTTTACTAGTGGCAAAATCAGATCACCTCCTGAGCAAAAGGCAAGACAGATTCTCTCCCTCTGCCTGAAGAAAACATAGTGCTAGACAGCACCCTATATGGTGTTTTTTGGTGTAGGCAGCACCCTATTATATGATGTTTCTTGACACAGGCCAGTCTAACGCTAATCTGCAAATTACTTCCCTCTAATGAGTATCACCACTGAATTCAAGTTTATACCAGTATGCACACCATCCCAGGATGGCAGCAGCAGCAAGAACACTGATAAAAACTCTGGACTACAAAACAGGTGAACCTTGTACCAATTAACACATGATTAAGACTCCCTGTGAAATGCACGTACATAGAGCAAAAAGCACAGAACACTTTTTATGAGAATCATTAGTCCGAATGTGAGAACAGAGGGAGAATGCTTATATTAATGCAGAATTAATCCCTTCCTTCTTTTCCTTTTGGTATAGGAAGTAGCCTCCATGGATTTATTTTTCACTAAGATAAACAGATGTCTGATCTATAGCACCCAGAAGAGCTCATTTCTTGCCAAGGAAGCCTCAGAAGGGGCTTTGAAAGCTCTCTGGATTGTATGTAAAATATACTTACAGTGAAATTGAAATACAGTTTACTGAAACTGAACAAAGAACATGAGAAAACATGAAAGGGACACTTACAAGTTCATTTTCAAAGCTGTGTGAGGGCTCTGTATCTAATCAAAGTAATCAAAAGGGGTTGAGGCCCAATGTATAATCAATGTAATTAGGCTGAGATGTTAAATGTAACTGAAATCAAAGATCAAGGAGTCAAAATGGGTGGAGAGCAGTTAAGAGCCTTCCATGAAGTTTTTCCCCTCTGCAGTAACTTCAGAGTAGTCTGAAAATCCCTGAACACTCCAGGAATCTTAAACTCTGCAGCAGAACTCTTCACTTTGCAGGTCTTTATTTAGTGCTCTGTTTTGGGGGTGGAAACAAGGACAGATCATATCTGGCGTCTGGCCCAGTAGCCACCAACCTGGTAAATATATCCACAGCATACCTGGAGGAGGTGGGCTGGTGGCGTTAGATTAGCAGTTGAGGCCAAGACAAGTTGTTCAAGACAGCACGCTATGAGGAGAGCAGTATTCGTCAGCTGATTTCAATGCTGCATCGTTAACACCACCAGTTACACATCCAACAGGACAACATCAGAATCACAGAGTCTTTTGGATTGGATGGGATCTGAAAAGACCACCTAGATCCAACCCCCCTGCCATGGGACACCTCCCACTACAGCAGGTTGCTCAAAGCCTCATCCAGTCTGGTCTTGAACACCTCCAGGGATGGGGCATCCACAACTTCTATGGGAAACCTGGTCCAGTGTCTCACCACCCTCACAGTAAAGAATTTCTTCCTAAGATCAAATCTAAATCTACCTTCCTTCAGTTTAAAACCATTACCCTTGTCCTATTGCTCCACTCCCTCATGCAGAACCCCTCCCCATCTCTCTTGTAGCCCCCCTTTAAGTACTGGGAGGCTGCTGTAAAATGCTCCTGGAGCATTCTCTTCTGCAGGCTGAACAACCCCAACTCACAGCCTGTTTTCGTAGGAGAGGTGCTCCAGCCCTCTGATCAGCTTTGTGGCCCTCCACTGGACTCACTCAACTCTTGTTATTATGATATCAAAGATACGGCCTGACAGAGCCATGCAGACAGTCTGCAGTAGTTCTCATTCAAGCAAGTAGTGCCCAACCACTGGTAAGGAGTTCTTATGGAGCAATTTATGGATTGTAGGTACGATCTTTAACATCAGCCTTTTCAATTGACAGAGATTCAGTACAAACTATACAAAGTGTGATATATA